AGCCACAGCCTCCCTTGCAGCCTCCACAGGAGCCACAGCCCCCACAGGAGCCACAGCCTCCCTTGCAGCCTCCACAGGAGCCACAGCCCCCACAGCTGGAGCAGGAACAGGCAGGCACACAGCAGCACACAGGCTTGCAGCAGCACACAGGCTTGCAGCAGCAGGAGCCACAGCCTCCACAGCTGGAGCCACAGCCTCCTGAACAGCCACAGCAGCTCATGGTTCTGGTGTTTGGTTGAGGATGGAGTAGGTTAGAGGAGCAGATAGAGAGGAAGTGTGCAGATGTGGAGCCTCCTGAGCCTGGGCCCTTTATATCCCTGCCCAGGTCAGGTGTGAAGCCGTACATGGTTGCTTCCTGGTTTCTGTTTGTGTCATTTACCCCAAGGAAATCTTGTTTGTTTTCATTTCAAGTTGATCTACTTGTGCCACTATTGATAGAAGAAGTTCCTGGAAAGTGGCTTCCAAAATGGCAGCTCATGTGCTTCCTGTTCTGGGTGTGAGGGGGCATGAGGTTGAACTATGATGCACGTGTCAGATTTCTTTTGGCAGAGGTCAACCCAGGCACCACAGCTGCCGTCTTGTGTAGATAATGCCTGGGCTGTGAGCTCACAGTGTCTACCTCTGCTTGGGGCAGGACCTCCACTTGGATCCTGGCCAACTGGCTCACCCCATGATGGAATGCTGTCCTTTTACCCCAAGTTTGAGTTTCCCTCCCTGGTGGAGGCGCTGCACACAGCCTGAGCACTCCAGCCACATGGTTCTGTGTATCCCCTGGTGGGACAGTCCTCTTCCTTCAGTTATTACCCTTTTGAGGGGAAGCATCTGTAGAGAGACATACCCGTGCTGAGACCTGTGCAGGCAGAGGGCCTAGGGTGCCCAGAGTCTGCAGGTTGCAAACAAAAGTCTTGGAGATTTGTGTAAACAAATAACCGAACACCAACTGGACTTATAAAACAACAGAATTATGTTCTTCTCAGTTCTAGAAGCCAGAAGTAAGATGTCAAGGTATCAATAATGCTCCATTCCTTTTCAAGTCTTTTCTGATTTCTGGTGGCTCCAGACTTCCCTTGGCATCCCTTGGCATCCCTCCAACCTCTGTGTCCTCACCTGGTGGTCTCTGCATCTTGTCACCTAGGGCTCTGGTCTTTAGATCACCTCACTCTTGTCACCACTGAAAACATCCTATTTCTAATAGGATCCCTGCTACGTAGCTGACCTGGCTAGTTTTGTGTCGACTTGACCCAAAAGAGGGGACCTCAATTGAGAAAATGCCTCCATAGATCTAGCTGTAGGGTATTTTCTTAATTAGAGATGGATGTGGGCCCAGCCCATTGTGGATGGTGCCATTTCTGTGATGGTGGTCCTGGTTCTAGAAGAAAGCAGGCTGAGAAAGCCATGATGAACAAGCCAGTAAGCAGTACCCCTTCTTGGCCTCTCCATCAGCTCTTGTGTCCAGACTTCAGCCCTGCTTGAGTTCTGTCCTGACTTCCTTCAGTGATGGACTATGATGTGGAAGTATCAGCTCTTTCCTCCCCAACTTGTTTTTGGTCATGCTGTTTCGCTGTAGCAATAACCCTGACTAGGAAAAGTACCCATTTCTTCTGAGTTGAAATACTTCCTTCCTGGAGGGAGGAGGGAGACACAGAAAGCTCATGAAGTTAATATTCACACGGCCCTTTCCTAAGGTCACGTACAAGACTCTCCTACCGGACAAACTGCCTGCAAGTTCTAGAGGGTGCTGCAGGGACACAGCTCTCCGGAGTAGTCACCCATGCTGGGGGTGGGCTTTTCAGTGATACAGCTGCCTTTTAAGGTGTATCTGCTCCCGTGACTACTCACCCACTCTCCTATAAGAAACCTCAATAAACCCACCTGTGCACTAAGCTAGAACGGAGTGGAACCCATTCTTTGGTGTCCTATCCAGGGCGTTTCTACACGTCTTTCTAGGAAAAGTCACATAGCACAACTGAGACCTGAACAGACAGAGACCATTATGAATTATGGAGGAGTGGTCCCTAAGACAGGTGCTGAGACACACTTGTGTGAGGGTGGAGCATTTGCAGGGACAATCTTGACTTTACCTTTTTCCACATGGCATGAGATGGTGCGCCTCTCATGAGTGGTGATGGCATGTTCCCTGTGATGGACGATGCATCATGCAGTTGAGGCCAAGCCATCTGAGAGAGGAATCCCAAGGTGACCACCCTTCTCTAATTGTTATAGTGTGTCATGCCTTCTTAGTGGATGGGGGTGTGCCACACTAGTATGACAGTGCCCCAAATGGCTGGTGGGCTACAGAATATGTTTCAGTCCCTGAAAGTAGTAGTAGTATGGCGTGGGATTATAAGCGGTCTGTATCGTCAGTCATGTGGCTTTGTGTGGGTGGTAAGACTTGCAATTGGGGCTCATTTGTCTTCTTCCCTGCATAAGGAAGATTGACAGTGGGGGATGCCTGCAGATGCTCATCTACACGGTAGCCTCTGATTTGACAGCACAGAGGAGAAATGCAGGATGGTGTGGAGGGGCTTGCTTGGGGGCCAGAAAAGGGAGAAGTTAGGACTCTGCTAGAGAGCTGTTCCTGGGATCCAAAAACTTGGACACCGTGGGAAGAATCAGACAGTGAGGAAGGAGACAGCAAGGCAGAAGTGGTAACAGATTGTCCTCAGGTCCAACCTTCAATACAGAGGCGGAGGTGGGAGGAGCTGTGATTCTGCATGCTGACAGGTGCCTTCCTAAGGGCCCAGGCCAGAAGGTTAGGATCGTCAGGGATGAAACTGCTTAAACTGGGAAAGACTTTCAAACAAGCCATGGCAGAGCTTCTCACAGCCTGGCTCAAAAGGCTCTAGAACATGACAGTGGGATCAGTCTAAGTGCTGTGAAAACAGAGGAACCAAGTAACATGACCACGCATTTCTCCTCAAGACAAAGGCTGCATGGCCTGAGCAGATAAGAAAAAGATCCACGCCCAGTGAACTGGCTCCTAAAGGCATTAGACACACTTGGTTACACCCAGAGGTCCCTGAGAGTACTGAGGACTGGAAGACTGTGGAGGAAAGACTGTCATTAATTACTGAGAGAACTGGGCATGAGAGAGGCGGCGTGTGATTCCTAGTTTACCAGGCCAGATGGGATCGTGTTCATAGGAAAGTTTAGAGTGAGGTTGATTTAGCAGGACCTCAGGACTGATACAGAGCTTTAGTGGGACACATTCGGTGTGAAGAAACAGCTCTGCCGGATTTGAATCACTTAAAACCAATGCGTAAATCAGGTTCAAAAGTTGCTGAAGCAATCAAAAAGGGATGAGAGAAAGGCAGAGACTAAGTGTCTCAAAAGCAATGTATCAGCTCACAACCATCTGTACACCAGTCTCACGTGACCCAATGCCCTCTTCTGGCTCCCTTGGGCACTGTAGAAAAGTATGAAGGCTAAATACCCATATACATAAAATAAAAATAATGGTTAAAAAACAAACAAACAAAACAACCAACCAACCAACCAACCAACCCAAAGTCCCTTTTGGATGTCAGTTGCCAAAATGCAAATGAATCAGAGAATATACTGATATCCTCTACCAGTTTCTATGAGAAGTCACTATATGTCTTCACAAAGAATAATACACTGTTTTTCTTTATACAGTAACTTTATATGCAAAATTATTAAATAGTAAAATAAATTAAAAATAAAATCAAAATTAAAGTATATTTAACACACCATATTAATGTAAATTTTAAATATGTAATAAATATTAAAATCACTGAAAAAAAAGCAATGTATCGCTGGTGACGTTAAGCTGGGCCTGCAGGTGCTGTGACTGTCCAGCCTCTCATCATAAAAGGACATTTCCCTCTTTCCGTTCTTGATTCTCTGGGGGTCACTAAGTTTAATTCACTTTCAAGGAAGAAAGGACCAGAACAACTGCCTTCACTAGGTGGCACACTGGCTTTGGTGGCATGGGTGGATATCATTATGGTAAATAATACATACATATATATGTATATGTATATATGTATATATACACATATATACATACATATATACGTATATGTATATATACATATACACGCATATATACGTATATACATACATATATACGTGTGTGTTTGTGTGTGTATATATATGTATATATATATATTTTTGTTGTTGTTTTTCGAGAAGGTTTCTCTGTGTAACTTTTTGCCTTTCCTGGAACTCACTCTGTAGTCCAGGCTGGCCTCGAACTCACAGAGATCCGCCTGCCTCTGCCTCCCAAGTGCTGGGATTAAAGGTGTGCACCACCACCATATATATTATTGTGAGCCTAGCCTTTAATGGCCAAGCCATGGATATGTATCCTGAACTGGCCATCTCCTGTGATGAGATTGGTAACTATCCCAATTGTCATCAGAGAGCCTTAATCCAGTAACTGATGGAAACAGATGCGGAGACCCACAGCCAAACATTAGGTGGAGCTCGAGGACCCCTGCAGAAGAGAGGAAGGAGGGATTGTCAGAGCCAGAGGGGTCAAGGACAGCACAAGAAAACCCACAGAAACAACTAACCTGGCTCATTAGAACTCCCAAAGTTTGAACCAATAACCAGGGAGCCTGCTTGGGGCCAACCTAAGCCCTCTACAGGTATGTGACAGTTGTGTAGCTTAGTCTACTTGTGGGACTCCTAACAGTGGGAGCAGGGGCTGTTTCTAATGCTTTGGCTGGCTCTTGGGAACCTATTCCTCATTCTGGATTGCCTTGCCCACCCTAAATCCGAGGGAAGGTGCTTAGTCTCACTGCAACTTGTTTTGCCATGCTTTGTTGACAGCCATGGGAGGCCTGCCCCTTTCTGAATAGAAACAAAGGAGTGGATGGGGGGCGGGGGAGTGGAGGGGAGGTGGGGGGGGGATCGAATAGGAGGAGAGGAGGAGGGGAAACTGCAGTCAGGGATGTAAAATAAGTTAATTAATTTAATTTTAAAAAGTGTACATTTATAGGGGAGATACTTTCAGTTTATGCAAATAACTCATTTAACTGCCCACGAATTTCAGCAGGAGTAGGTCTTCCCTGCAGCAGTCATTGCTGCAGTATTCTTTTTTAAAATTTAATTTTAAAATATTTTTTAATTTAATTTAATTCTTAATTTAAAATATTTTTTAAAGATTTACTATTAAAGATTTTGTTTTTAAGTGTGTGTGTGTGTGTGTGTGTGTGTGTGTGTGTGTGTGTGTGTGTGTATGTATACATGCATGTGAGTAGAGTGCATTTGGAGGCCAGAAGAGGGTGTTAATCCCCTGGAGCTGGAGTTAGAAGCAGTTGTGAGCTGCCTGACACATGGGTGTTGGGAACTGAACTGGGATCCTCTGGAAGAGCAGCAAGCACTTTTAATTGCTGAGCTGCCTCTTCAGCCATTGTCGTTGTTATTATTATTATTATCAAATTATGTGTACATGAGTGGAGGTGCCTGGAGAGTCCAGAAGAGGACGTCAGACCTCCTGAAGCTAGAGTTACATGTTGGTTCAAGCCTCCTGACATGGGTGCTGGGAGCTGAACTTGGGTCCTCTGCAAGAGCAATATGCACTCTTAACTACTTGAGATCTCTCTCCAGCCCCCGTGTTCCAAAGACAAGTCTGTGTTTTCTTTGCTCCTTCTGCACTCTTTGGAATTCTATGTTCAAAGGTTGAGTTTGGAAGTGCCCCCTCCCCCCGTCCCCCGCAAGTCTGTTTTCTAAAAGGCGTAGCGATTATTGGTGAAATCAGTGAGACTGCTCTGCAAAAGTTTTTACTTAGAAATCCAATTCCTTTGGTGTCCTTACGTTTCACTTTCTTTAGTGTGTGAGGGGGTGCACATGGATCATGGCACATATGTGGAGGTCAGAGGACAAACTTGCAGAAGTGGGTTCTCTCCTTCCACTGTGGGTGACACTGGCTTGCTAGCAAGTGCTTTGACTTGCTGAGCCATGTCACCAGCCCTAGAAGTCCAATTTTTATTAAATGACTGCAGGACTGTTAGGGTTGTGGGCTTCTGCTTGAGTGAGGTATGGCAGCTGCTGTCTTTCAAGACCCCAAGTGTGTGAGCCAGCAGCACACGCTCTTCCTGCCAACCCAGCAACTTATTTCTCTGTTCTCTTCTCTTCTCTTCTGCTGAGGATTTTCAGTTTTACTGATCAGTTCAATGAAATGCCTTTATTTTTCTTTGGCTTTATTATTTTATTTTGATGTGTTTCATTTCTAGTTCATTAGCTATGAACCAGTGTCTGTTAGTGTTTTCTGTATTCCTTTATTTGCTTTTCTTCCCTGTCTTTAGTTTTTAAAGGGAGACACTTGGGCTAATTGATTCTTTCAGCACCTGTGTTTGGATGCTATTAATTTCCATCCAAACATGACTTTAGATGCACTCCCCAACATGGGTTGGGTTATTTGCATCCTTGTGGCGGCTTGCCTTTCCCCAGGATCCCACCAGCCTCCCCAAGGCTTAGCCACATCTGCCCTGCAGTGATCACCCAACATGTCTGTGGTTGTCATCACTGCATGTTCTTGTCTCTACCTAGAACTCTGTGCAATGGACATGCTCTGTTTACCACTGACTTGGGCAACCTTTAACCTCGAGTCTATTAAATAAACAAATGGGGGACTATTTGTGATGAATGGATGGGGGCAAGAATGCAAAGAGAGAACAGAGCTGGAGGGTAGGGATATAGTGAATGTTTTCTGAGAGAAAGGAGCCACAAAAGAGCAAGATTTGCCAGTGAGGGAACGTTTATTGATTGATGCTTCAGGATTGACAGGATCTTTAATCACATGATTTAATCATAATTTTTCTTTCAGCAGCTCATGCTTGTACCTTAGGGGTTGGGAGGCTGATCTATGGCCATGGACACCTCAGATAAAGTGGGTGCTGGGGGCCTTAGATGTCTACATTTGGAGCCTTAGATCTTGCATTGGCAGCACACAGGGACACAGCAGCAGGGCTTGCAGCAGCTGGACTGACAGCAGGAGGACCCACAGCCTGAAGAGCAGCAGGGTTTGCAACAGCTGGATTGACAGCAACAAGGCTTGCAGCAGCTGGACTGGCAGCAGGAGGACCCACATCCTGAAGAACAGCAGGGCTTGCAGCAGCTGGACTGACAGCAGCAAGGTTTACAACAGCTGGACTGACAACAGCAGGGTTTACAGCAGCTGGATTGACAGCAGGAAGACCCACAGCCTGAAGAGCAGCAAGGCTTGCAGCAGCTGGACTGGCAGCAGCTAGATTTGCAGCCTCCACAGGAGCCACAGCCTCCACAGGAGCCACAGCCTCCCTTGCAGCCCCCACAGGAGCCACAGCCTCC